TCTCACAGCAGAGCTTTAGATTCAGTTTCCTCCCCCAGGGTGGTGACTGCAAACCCAGAAATGCCTTCGTTGGAAACAAATTTCTTGCCTTCTATGCACCATTTTGACTAAACTCAGAAACAGTTCTTTCCTTCTGTGCACATTTCTGGTTCTCTATCAGACTTTGAGTTTGGATCTGGCTCAACTGGAATTGAAACTTGTTGTGGTTGTTTGCACAATCACAAGAAGTTTGATACACACCCCACTCATATCCTGGAGTGTTTTTCACTGTGGAGCCCGGCGGGATGAACAACAGAGGAGTTTTCAGGGTAATTTCCTTTCCCATTGTTCAGGCTCCCTCCTGTCCCAAATCTCTGTGCCTCAATGTCCCAAATCCCTGTGCCTCAATGTCCCCCAGCCCTCGGGCTCTGTCCCTCAGTGCATTCAGGGATTGTGAAGCAGCAGCTCTGTGGTTGTGATTGCTCACGACCATCTGGGCCAAACTGGGCTCATTTTAGGGAGCTGTTTGGAGAAATGTGCAGTGACTCATCCCTGAGACACTGGGCAATGCGCCAGAACCCTGGGGAAAATTTGTTATCTCAGAATCGAAATATTCAAATGATTTCTGGGAGATGCAAAGCTCAAAGACAGAACCCTCCCCCAGTGTTCCCAGTAGCTGATGTAGTGCAGCCCCAGTTCCATCTGCCCACACATCATGAAATAATAATGAGGAATTTTGCAAGTCCCCACTTATTAATCCCTGATTCCTGATCTGAGCCCAACCATGCCAAGGAACATCTGCAACTCCCTCACAGTTTAAGGCTCCTGCTCTGTTTACTTTCCCCTTGGAGAATTTCCAACCCCACAAATGTCCCAGATATTTCCCCCTCACCCCTTTTCCCTCAGAGAATTTCAAACCCCACAAATGTCCCAGATATTTCCACCCCTTTTCCCTCAGAGATTTTCAAACCCCACAAATGTCCCAGATATTTCCCCCCTCACCCCTTTTCCCTCAGAGAATTTCAAACCCCACAAATGTCCCAGATATTTCCCCCCCCTCACCCCTTTCCCCTCCATTCCCCGTGACCATTTCACACCCAGAAGTTCAATCATTCAACACTCGGGTCCCTGCTCTGCTCTTCAGTGTCCTCTCAGCACATCAGCAGAGCCCCGTGGGGATCAAAGCTCTTCCATTGCTCTCGTTCCTTTGCCGGTGCAGTCCCAAAAATCCTGGGGCTGTTTTTAAACCCTCGAGCTCGAGCAGTCCTGGCTGGGGATTTTTCCACTGAGATGGGAACAGTTCCTGTCTCGAGTAGCCCAGAGATGTGCAGGAAAGGTGACCTTGAAATGTGTTCCAGTGAACCCTGCCAAATTCCCTTTAGTGGGGTGAGCAGTGTGGATGGCTCAGCTCCCATCTTTTATTAACTGCTATTAACTCCTGTGCTAATTGAGCATCTCTGACATTCGCAGCTGTGCCTGGCAAAATGGGGGGGTTGAACCCAGAGTCACATTGCACCGTGAACCCACTCCCTAAAAATCTTAACATCACTAAAATTAGTGATTTTTTTGACTTTTTCTTTTCAGCTTGCAGGAATGTTGTTTCACTCTTACTAGGCCTTTTTTGCACATTCAGTTGCATTCTTATGGGTTCTATTCATTGGTTCCTTCCATAAAGGATGTTTTTGCATCCTCGGTTTGATTTGGGATAAGCTCAGATCAGGAAGTCACTCCCTGCCCTATGAAAATGGAATGTTCCAAACAATAATAGTCAGGAATAAACTCACATTGGACTCTGATTTTAATCTGAATTTCCCCTTCACAAGACTTGATCTCTACCTTCAATTTTCCCAGTGAGTTTTCCTCCCAATAACAATTCCGGAGAGTTCAGCACGTACAAGAGTCCATGGGTTGTCCATCATTTCCCCAGTTTGAATTTATTTGGATGGAAAAGGTGCCCGTTTGACCGACAGCTGTGACAAGGTCACCCCTTCCCTTCCCTTGCAGGGTGTTTCATATGGAATAAAGCAGCTCCTGTATTCACCAAAAATCCGAATTTTCCATTTCCAGAAGCTCTTCTGGGGCAGAAACTTCTGGTTCCCTTCAGAATTTCTCTGCTCTTGCCAGGAGAGGGTTTGGAGCAGTCCTGGGTTTTACCTGAGGGTGCTCTCAATGTCCATCCTTTTACAAAATGCACCTGGATTTGTTCCCAATCTTCCTAATTCAGGACAAGGAACTGAGCTCCTTCCCCCGCCAAGAGAATCCACCCTTCCTGAAAGCAAAGTCCCCTGGTTGATGATTTACCTCTGACTCATGTTAATTTATTACCTTTTATTATCTTTATTGAACCCTTATCTGATGCTGTGCCCGGCTTGTTTAACACTCTCTCCATGGGGATCTTAAACCCAAATATAATCCTTATTTTTCCAGAAAATCCAATTGCTTAGAGCAGCCTTGTCCTATGTCACAGATGGAACAAGAGTGACATTAATTGAATTTATTATCAAACAGATCGGAGCAGGAGAATGAGAAATGAACCAAATCCTAAAGAAAACACCTCCACCGTTCCCTCCATCCCTCTTTCGATCTCTCCCCCGCCCCCGGTGCCGCAGGGTTTGGGGGTCACACTCGGGCCCTGTCACTGCCTCTCACTCAGGGGAGGAATCCTTGTCCTGCTCCGCTCTGGGCTCCAGCGGGGCTGC